GAAAACATAAGATAGGATAGATCAGTATAAATATTCTATGATTTTAAATAATAACTACATCTCAGCACGTTCATATATATATATAAATATATTTTTTTTTTTAAAAAAAAAAAATAGAGACCTTCAAACTATCTGTGGTAATAGAATCGTCTTCTTCATCAACTACAGTAGTCATAAGAGAAGGTGGAGGGAGATCTGTTGACGATACACCTTTTGTATCATCAATACTCTTTCTGTGGGTTTTTAGTACCCTCCTTGGCTTTTTCAATTCTTCAATTAATTGAGCATTTTCGGATGGATTTGTAGCTGTAGGCGAAGTATCAGACGTTACTGTTAATGTAACAGAATCAAAATAAGTTTATACTCGCAACTCGTTTAATTTTTTCAGTTATTACTTTGCATCAGTAAAAGGAATACTCTAACCTGTGGAATCCGGCATTGTAAAGGAGAAATAATGCGTATTTACAACGAAAGCTATATTCGCGAAAGCTAACGCTAAATTTATGATAACAACTTTTCTTTCATAATAATATATGTGACGGCTGAAGTTTGGCTGATGTTGAAGCTAAAAAATCTGATTGGTTAGGGTTAGGGTGATCTGCAAAATTTAGCCAATCAGATTTTTTAGCTTCAACATCAGCCAAACTTCAATAGATATGCAATTTTACCGTGGCACAAGTCACATGGTCAGCATAATGATACGTACAACATTCTATAACGATAATTAACATACTGATACGCTTTATTAACATACGTTTTAATGATACATATTAAAAAGAACTCAAAAAGTTAAAAACTAAATTTATTGAATATTTGTTAACGTATTCTGATACAAAGATACAAACAGCAGCAAGCGTAATGATATACTTTAATATCCCTTTAACTCCCTTTAACCACGTTGACTTATTTGCTATTATTAAGAAGCAAAGCGAAGAACGAAATTCGTTATGACGACAACTGTTTTCATCAATTAAACAGGAATTAACTATGTAATATAAAAAGAAAGGCAAATATCTTATTTAAAACGCTTACCGATAAGGAAAATACAAAGAAATGTAGGACCGTATCTATCATCGTAAGGACCAGGTTCTTTTACCCTTATCTTAGCAGCTCTCCAATGATATATAAGTAGAGCATACATCATGACAAGCATAGCTTTTTAATTAAACAAGATATTTTAGATTGAAAATCAGGTTTGGAATAAAATTGAAGCAAAACTTGAACAAAACTTGTAATATTTTGTGTACCAACGGCAGTAAATAATGCGGCAGATATTCTTCCTACTCTATCTCCAAAGTTGAGCAGTCCAATTGCAAGACCGCCCAATATAACAGTAAACTGCAGCCATGAGAGAAAAGTTCGCTCGTTTGCGAAAAAAACCTAGGTTACGTGGAATAGTGAAATAGCTCGGCGTTTAAACAGATTTTGTTATTACAGTTCAAGTTAGAAGTAAAAACAACATACTTTAGGCTCGACTCTAACGGGAATAGCTATTCGTTTAGATTGAAGAAGAGGTTGAGACGACATGCTGGCTAAGGCGTAAGAAGAAGGCGTAACGTCAGCTTTTTATTGCTCAAATAATTTGGAGTACCGACTTTAGCCATATTAAAAATTGACCATTTTTGTCGATATCGATACGTATAATTTTTTTGCAAATAAAGATCATTATCACTTGATCGGCATAAATATCGATATAAAAAAATATCCCTATCGCTATGTACCGACAAAATTGATTATCAATCATTTTGTGAATAAGGTTAGTAGCGACCAAAATTCCGAGTCTGACGCCAACTTAAAAATTTCGCTATACGAATTTCAGGATTGGGTATAATATGACTACTCCAACATCAACACTAGTAATCAACACTAGTAGCGAAATTTTTTTAAATTGATGACACTAGAGTCCTAAACGAAATCCTACACATTAAATAAAGTTACCCAATGATAATTTTGATATGATACAGTTGGCTGATATTATCGCTTAATGCCGGCATAGTTCCGATTCTAAATTTTGGTCGATCTAGTTGCTAATATATCCTTAATTGGGCTATTACCTTTTCAATTGCCCTATTTGAAAAACTGCAATGACAGGTGCCATCACGCTTTTCCTATAATTGGTCAATTACACAGTTGTTACATAGTTTAGAGTTACACAGTTTTTTATTTTCGTTATACAATTTAGAGTAAAATGTAACATTTCACAGGTAAAAATTTTATGTACTGTATATCGATATTTCAGTATTTTCGATGTTCAAAAGGCCTTTTTTTCGGCCATGTCCACGTTCAGACGCCGTTTGAAGATCTAATTTCGTTTAACGTCCCTTAAGCGCAGTTATATTGCAAAAATAATCATGGTTGCCGTATATGCACGTGACTTATTGGAATCTCAAATCGTAATGAATCAGTGTTGTTAAAATTAGTGGTCGACTAAAACTTTGCTGGTCAAATTGGTCAAATTGGTCAAATTGGTCAAATTGGCCAAATCTATTATATATATAAATTATAATAATATATAGGACACACTAGACAGTGCCCATGCACTTTGTGCTCTTTACTATAAAATCACCAATATCTCAAAATTTTGACTAGGTAACCCCTGTCGTGTAACATAAGCAAAAATGTTCCTCTCGCTTACCCTAACCCTAAACCTAACCTTAAATCTAACCTTAAACCTAACATAATATTATTGCAGGCTCAATTTTGCTATAGGGGCACAAAGTGCCCCGGGGCACTGTTTAGATTTATCTTAATATATATTATAATTAAATTTACAATTTGACCAATTTTTTACCAATCGAATTAGTCAAATTGGTCTAGTCAAAAAAACACTGGTAATGAACCCTGTTTAAATTTCGAGGGGGGTAGAATAATAAACGAAATTGTAATTTCAAACAGTCTTAGTAATTAATAATTTGGACGGCACAATTCCCGAATAAGAATTTGGAGCAAAATTGTTACGTATGATATTAATTGCATTACTATAAGAATTTGGGGCAAAATTGTTACGTATGATATTAATTGCATTACTATTAAGAATTTGGGCAAAATTGTCACGTATGATATTAATTGCATTACTATAACTTAAGTATACATTATTCGGCAAAAATTTTTGAATAACGGTAATTTGGTTCAACCGGGCAAATGAACACGTGCCGCGAA